TCTTTATAGCTTGATATAGGTATTGTATGAATGCTGTCTGGCTTCTCTGCCCAGAAATACGTATGACCAAACGTGGGTCTGGCTTACTGCATTCATGGCAGAAAAGTGTCACTATGTTTTACACCTGGCTGCTAAGAGTGATGTTTGTTTGGAATAGCTGCTTATCTGTCTCTGACAGGTGGGCAAACTCATTATTTAAACTCCAAGTGTTGAATCAGGGAATTTTTTTTGAGAGGACGATGAAGAAAGATGTCCCATCCTTGCTTCTTGCCCTGATAGACATAAGAATACCTGGAACACTGGCAAATTGCAGGTAGTATTTTCCCCTGCTGCAAAAAAGAAATCACAATTAAAATAGGGATTATAACTACTATATATGGCATAAATTTTTTGACAGATGATGCTTTTTGTTCTTATGTTCTAAATGATTGGCTAACAAAAGATGCATTTCATGTATTACCAGCACCGTTCTCCTCATCAAAATCCACAGTATTCAGAAATACAGTAGTGCACATACCAGAAGGCAAGGGGAGGTTTGGCTCTGGTTACCATCTTCTGGAGGCAGTTACATTGCGCCACAATACTAGGCTCTCCGAGCCAAAGAAGAGGAATGGCACCTTTGCTTTCTTTGAGCTGATGGGAAGGTTGCCATTGACTCGAACCAGAATTTAACTTTAGCAACAGAGATTTGGATCTCTGGGACTGAAAACTATGAGTTTAAAAGTAAAGACAGGGTAAAGCTAAAGAAGCAATGACTACCTGAGCGAGCAAACAGCCTGAAACAATTGGTCTGCAGCTTGCCTGTTGCTTTGTGCATGGTATTTTCACATACACAGCTTCAGAAGGAATGGTCAAATTATAATGAAATTATACTAGTCTTTTATCGTTGCCACAGGACAGTGAACATAATGGTGACTACTAAAGTAGAAATGGTAAAAATACTATTACTGAATGCTGAGAAAAGATGGAGGAGAGATGCTGTGCGGAAAGGTCTGCATGAAGAGAAACACCTTATTCTGGTACTTAACCCAGCGGATGCCAGTCCATAGAGTGGCATAACTTTCCCCCCTTCATTTGACTTCTGCTGTCCTTTTATTTACATGTTCAACAGATTTTGGCTTCTTCTGTGTTTGTAAATCCTTAATTAAAACAACGGGGGATGGTGCAGGAAGGAACGTACCGTACAATAGCACCATACACCATGTGGCCAATGGAGAGTTAGTACTGTAACTTTAAAGGGTTTCTTAGCTTAATCCCTGTAAGTGCTAAAACAGTTTTGCTAGATGCAAATTACACACGCAATATTAAAATTATCAGGAAGGTCCTATTAGAAATATTTTGAGAGCTATGAAAGTTCATTTAATTTGCACTGAACTAAAAGCTGGCATACTTCTGGCTTTGCTCAGTATTTTCAAGGCTGTGGTTAACAGCAGTATGTACTCTTGTGAGCTTTTAAATACCACTTTTCTCAGCAAATATAGCTGAATTTTACAATTAAAGATGCCAACATGTTCTTCGTTGCATTTTTGATCTTAAATAGGTCACACTGCTTGTGCAAAGCACACTGAACACACAAGGGGTGCGTGTGTTGCTTGGGCAGGGGCGTCAAGAAAAGAATTACTGAGAATACTTCCTCAATCCGAACTTGACAGACGATAAAGAGACTTGGGTAGAATGCGAGTACTCGATTTCATATTGCCTTCAGGAGAGCCGCAGGCTGGGCAGAGGCCGGCAGGCAGGGCAGGGGCATCCGGAGCAGGGAGGCGGAGGCAGGCAGGGCAGCGCAGAGCCCGGCAAGGCGGAGGGCAGGCGGGGGCTGGGATGGGGACGGGCCCCGGGCGCGGCGGGGGCTGCCGGGGCGGGGGCGCAGCCGCCCCCAGCCTTCCGGAGCCGAGCTAGGCTCTAGTAGCTATACGCGGCGCCCGCCGGCCCCGGCGTTCCTCTGCCACAGCCAGGCGGCGGCGGCGGCGGCGGCGGCGCCCGGGGAGGGACACCCCCCCCGCTGCCGGCCCATCGCCCGCCCCCGGTACGGCGGGG